CCCATGTGTAAACAAAAATCAAACTCTGTCATCTCTTATATTCACATTGTGAAACAGGCATGCAAATCCCTGCTTCCCTCCCCCCCGGGGGGGTTCCTGTTTAAATACAAACCCCAGATTGGAAGAGCCCCAGTCTCTCCCCAGACATAGAACTGCCTGGTCCTGGCTGCTGGGGACAGTTTGCACCTTCACTTAAGATGAACCTGCTGCTGATTTTCCTGTTCATGCTGGAGGCCACTTCAGGTACATGTCTGTTGGGGATCAGGAGGGTTCCTTGCTGCAGTGATTGCAGAAGAGATGTTTCAAGGGCGTGAAGCGCCTGGATGCCAGTGGAGTTCAGTGATAGTTGGGTTCCTCACTCCCTTAAGCGCTGTCTCAGGATGTTTAATTTTCACATGTTCCCCACTCCCAGGGGATAGGAGCCTGGCTCATGGATTCATTTCTGTGTTTCCTTCCCAGGTGTCCTCTCCCAAGTGCAGCTGCGGGAAACGGGCCCGGGAGCGGTGAAACCCGGGGAGTCCCTGACACTCACTTGTACCATCTCCGGAGACTCAGTTTCTAGCACCAGCGTCACCTGGGACTGGATCCGGCAGCCTGTGGGGAAAGGGCTGGAATGGGTAGGGCGCATTTACTACAGACCGAGCCAGTGGTCCACTAACTATGCCAGCTCTCTGCAGAGTCGAACAACCATCGCACAAGACACTTCCAAGAACCAGTTCTCCCTGCAGCTCCGCTCGCTGACAGCTGCAGACACCGCCGTGTATTACTGCACCAGGAGAGACACAGTGACAGAGCGAAGCAGGGACCGGTACAAAAAGGGGAAGCAGATTCCGATTAGCGCAGGGAGACAATCTGAACGGAAAGAGCTGTTATTCAGATCATTAAAATGCGTGTAAATAGAAAGAAAAGGAAAGGGGAGGCGGGTAAGGAATCTGAGGGGATTTTATATATCTCCGTGGACCAAAGTGACGCAACAAAGAGGAGGATCATGAGCTTTAGTGACATGCCTCAACCCCCTGGTCGCAATATTTCTAAAATCGCTCCCGGCTCTTGTCCAGCATAGTTCAATCTTACAGATCTTCCAAGGGGTTGCGAGACCAACTAACTAGCAAATCCAGTCCTTCCACACTGGTCGCGAAAGAGAAATAGTGAAAGAGACAGAAAGCGACGGACTGAAGAAATGATGTTGATCTGTAAAGTTTTGAGAAGCACCTACGTGAATCAGGAACCGAGGAGCCAGATTCTTAAAGGGATTTAGGTGCCTAAGGGAATTTTCGGAAGCACCTAGGAGCCTAAAACTCCTTGATTGCAATGGGCCCCTAACGATTTCTGAAAATCCCATCTGTTGCCTACATGCTTTTAAAAATACCTGGCTTTCAGATGTATTAGTTTTGAAACTTCGGGATACGAGTACATGTTGGTCAGGATATTAAAAGGGACCTAAGGGAATTAAGCCCTGAAATCTGGCAGAAATTCCTTAGGAGCTGTCATCCCTTGGGCTCCTTTCAAAATTCTCAGCTCTTATTATTGTTCAAGATGCTCAGATAAGTGTGATACGTCAGAGAGAGGGAGAGAGAGAGGGAGAGAGAGCAATAAAGTTAAATTACCACAATGTAAGAACGAAGAGAGCTCGACAGGCAGAGATGGAAGACGGACAGTCCAAGCACCATGACTCCGAGAAACAGTAGGATCCAGTGTTAGGGCGCTAACCTGGGCCTCAGGCCACCCACTTTCCATTCCAACCACAGCCACAACTTTCCTGTGTGACATTGGGAACCACGCTTATTCCTTCTGTGCCTCCGTTCCCCATATTAAATGTGGCGATAATATCACAGCCCTTCCTGACAAGGGTATTGTGAGTATAAATGCATTATGGATTGTGCAGCGCTTGAATATGTAATGGGGGGGGAGGGAGAGAGAGAGAGAATAGGTTATGATAATAGATAGATAGATAGATAGATAGATAGACGGTGGGAAAGTGTCTTCGTATTTCTTTCACAAAATACTTAGTTCAGGCTTGGATGCTGTATTAACACCAAGAAAACAAACACCTGTAAACTTCACAAGGAAAGCGAGGAGGTGGAACAGGGATCTCTTAGCGGCTCAGAATGACAGCAAGGTACCAAAATGTTTATCCTGTTGCTTGGGTTAGAGCAAAATGACAGTGATAAGTAACACTAGCTCAAGTAGCATTGTCATAAATATAAATGGAAGGTTAACAACCTTTGTGTATGCAGTAATATAAAACCCCTCTTGGCCATAGGTACAGAATCACTTACCTGTAAAAAGCAACAGAGGGTCCTGTGGCACCTTATAGACTAACAGACGTATTGGAGCATAAGCTTTTGTGGGTGAATACCCACTTCGTCAGACACGGGTATTCACCCACGAAAGCTTATGCTCCAATACATCTGTTAGTCTTTAAGGTGCCACAGGACTCTTTGCTGCTTTTTACAGATCCAGACTAACACGGCTACCGCTCTGATACTTACCTGTAAGGGGTTAATCAGTTCAGTTAACCTAGTTGGCATCTGACCAGAAGGACCAATGGGGAAAGAAGATAATTTTAAATCTGGGTGGAGGGGGAAGGTTTTGTTTGTGCTCTCTGTGTGTTCCCTCTTGAGACAAAGAGAGAGAGAGAGAGACCAAGCAGGTAATCCAGCTCCTACTGAAATGATACATCTAAAATTACAGAAATTGTAAGTAATAGCAAGGAAATGCGTTAGATTATCTTTTGTTTTAGCTTGTGAATTTTCCCTATGCCAAGAGGGAGGTTTATTCCTGTTTTGTAACTTGGAAGTTGAGTCTAGAGGGGAATCCTCTCTGTTTTAAATCTTTTTATTACCCTGTAAACTTACCTTCCATCCTCATTTTACACAGGTGCTTCTTTTATTTATTTATTTTTATAATAAAGATCTTCTTTTAAGAACCTGATTGGTTTTTAGTGTCCTAAAAACCCAAG